TGGGAGTACGAGGCTCCAGGTGGAGGCTGGATAGCAGCTGTGGTGTGCTCACGGCAAATTCTGGTCTAGATGTGCCACTGTGCCCCCCTTAGAGGTGAGAGCACCCCAGGGTCCCCTCCCCAGAGGATCCTGATGAGCCTCCGGGGGTACTGAGCAGAAGAGGCTGCAGCTTCGGAGGGGTTTTTCTGTGGGGCTGCTGAGTGCATTAAGCTCACCCTCAGCTCCTGCAGTTGTTCAGAGCCAAACATGACCTGGCCTCTCCCGTTGGCTTTGATTTTGAGATGGCTTTAGTGTGTTACCTGGGCTGTGGAGGGAGGACTCTGAGGGAGCTTGTGGGAGATCTGGGGGTGCTGCCTCTGCAGTGGCGCGGGGCTTATTTCTGAAGACTGAGATACATTGTCAAGGCTGTTCTTAGCTCCTAACTAAGCCTCTTTACTAAATCCTACCGCGCAGCTCTGTGGGCAGCGTTGGCTTGTAAATCTATCACGAAGCTAGGTTTAGCTGCCTTTAATTTGGTTTTATTGGTGCACTTCTGTAGTGATGCTTTCCGTGCCCCTCCCACTTAAGCTTTACCTCCCCGAGATGAGGTAATTCTCCAATATGTACCACAAGTGCTTAGCAAGCTGCTCGGCTCCCAGAAATGAGAGGAGCTTAGGAGTGCAATCCTTTCTCAGGACGAGAGGCCTGACACTGCTCTAAAGCTACACACGAGCTGGGTGTTCGGCATTTGCAGAAAATCGTGGCTGTCGGGACACGTGGGCAACTGCGCTGCTGGTGCTGCTCTAAAACATCGACCTTGCCCAGTGACCTGTCTCAGGCGATCTCTGCATGGCCCCGACAAGGAGGATTTGTGATGCTGTGCCTTTTGTTTTCAGACAGCAATAGTTCTAAGTGTTCACGGAACAGCTGTGTTCGCGCCAGGGCTGCTGCCAGAGCTGTTCCTGAGGATCCCGTAATATTTTCCTCTGTAAAGCTGTAGCTTCGTCTTCCTTCTTACTTACACTTCCCTGTCCCCCTCAGCTGTGTCAAACTAGAGCAGCATCCAAAAATGTAGACGAAGACTTCTTTGGTAAGGCTCTTTAGTTCCCTCTTACTTGGTAAGATGTTTTTACTTGTAGATACTGTAACAGATTTTAAATATGCAAAACCAATTGCTGTAGTAATTGGTTCTGGTCCTGGAATTTGGTTGTGCTTAGAATGCAAAGACATTTCTTGCACTCACAGGCCAGAAGCAGTTGATTTGTTGATACACATTGTATCTGTGTTTTCATTACGTGTTGTTGTTTGGGTTTTTTTTAAATACGTCCATTCTGTGGTTAAACCAAGGTTGTTGTGTGGCAAATTCTGAAGGGGAGAGTGGAACGGAGCCGTTCCCCAGAGCCCTTCTCGGAGCAGCTGTGTCTGTTCCTGCCCTTCCCTCTGAGTGTCCGAGGAGTGACCGGCCCAGACTGGCACCATGTGCCGCAGAAACCACAGGGACACAGAAACCTGTATGCCCGGTTAATTATGATACATTACAAAGTAGTAATGTTTCATGTTAGTAAGCAAAATGCTTCTTAATTTTAAGTAACCTGATACTTTGCATATTTGTAAATTACAGGAAAAATGGTTTTTAATGTTATTGTCCAGCAACTTGCTGCTTGCTGCTGTTTTTAATTAGTACTATTCTCGACTCGGCCATTGTGTTACTTGGCGTGGCGCGTTTTGTTTTCCTGGTGGAATGCTGATATACACTGCTTCTCTTGCAATCAGAAGTTTAACGTTTTATACTCACAAGCTGGCATTTACTGAACTTTCTGTATCGTTACACAGTATAGAGTTTATTTACTGAATAGAGGCAGCCGTGTGAAAGCCATGGCAAAGTAAGAACTTGTGTTACATGAATAAAAACTGCTGAGTTGAATTATTGGGTCTCTGGTGACTTTTTGAAAGGCCAGTCAGCGTTAGGGTTGGCTTTCCTGGAAAGTCAGAGGAGTTACCCTTCCTCCCTGGGTCTCCGCACGCAGTCTGGTGGCTGCACTGTGACAGGCTGGTTAACCGATGCAGTGCTTGCTGCGGCAGACGACGGCCTGACCAGCGGTTGCGACTTCTTGGACGCTAGCGAGGTGAGCTCGCCGCACGGGACAGCTGAGTTGCAGGGAGCCGCGGTGGGGGTGCACTTCAGGTGCCAAAGAGCAGCACACCTGGTTATTGCGGAATAAATACCACGGGCTGTGCTTCAGTTCTAATGGGCAGCTCCCCAGGACAGTCTGGAAATAAATACATATTTTATCTAGTTGCAGAGCACATCTGTCAGATGTTGAGCACGATAATGTGCGAACTGTAACATGTCAAGGCTTCGCTCTGAAGCTTTGTTACGAAGCGGGAAGGGAATGCTGCAGGAATATCAATGCTCGCAGTTCGGTATGAGAATCTTCCCCTCCCACCTGCTGTACTGCGGTACGGCGTGTTCTTATCTCACTTGTTAAATAACTTTATGGTCTTTATTCAAATTTGTGCTCTTCATTTAATACAGGGCAATGACTATTTCTGGTTAATCAAAAACAGGGAGAGCGGGTGCTGCTGGAGATAGGGCTTAGTTTCAGAAAACAAATCTGAAACCTCGCAGTCCGAGAGGTCATTTAGCAGCTGTGGGGGAGGAACCCTCTGGGGGACGTCACCCCGTGCCAGCGAGCACGTGGGGCTCTTTGCGTATGCGGTGGCCGTGGGCTTGGTGGGGAGGGGATAAGCCGATGGGTCGTAGATTTGATCAGACCTTCTAACCAGGTGAGTGCTTCTCTGCTCTTTGCAGTGGGGGCTGAGGTGAAAAATGCCGCAGGATTTGAAGGCTGGTCTTCATGTAAAATACCTTAACAGAAAATTATAAGTTGTGCAGGATGCGTAGATACTGGGGGGGAATGTTTTGGTTTAGTTTATGGTTTTGGGTTTTTTTTGCTTCTGTCAAAGCTATTCTGATACCACTAAGGGAATCAGCGCAGCAGCAGAGGCTCGTCGCTGTAACCAGGAAAGGAAGAGCTGGCAGCGACTTGGCTTGGTTCTGATGGCAACAGCCCTTTTCTGCTGCAGTGACCGTCCTGGTGACCCTCGGAGCAGTGTAGGAGGCTCAGTCCCTAACGCAAATCTCATCAAAATTATTCCCACAAGCTGCTGCGGTGTTCCCTGCCTCGCCACCCAGAAAAGCCGGCTGAAACCCAGCTGCTGTCCTCCGGATTCTTTCACACAAGGCTGCTCTGTGGGCAAGCCGGCGCCTCCTGCCCCTGAACCATCCCATGGCTGAGAGTAAGTGCTGCTCTCCCTGGTGTGGGCATCGCCGTGGGGCCCTGGGGCTGGGGCAATGTGGGGAGCACTGATCAGAGCTGTCACTGCTGCGTGTTCTTCCCCCCCGCACTGAGTCAGCGGTGCTGCCTGCTTCTCGCTGCGCTGGTATGGTGGAATTTTGAAGACGCACCCTGTGGCTCACCGCTTCCTCGGGGCGCTTCGGCGGGGAGGGCCTGTCCGGGCTCCGTGCACTCGCGGTGCGCTGCTTACCCGTCTGAAATAGGTTGGGGCTTCTTGTCGGCTTGCTGAGCTGTTAAGGAGGTCACACACGGGCACCGTGTTGAAAGTTTCCCGTAGTTCAGCGGGGTTGCCTTCCCTTCATCCTGCCGGGCCTGGGCAACCGGTGAAGCCTCGTGCCGAGCCCCACGGGAGGGGATGGCTCCTCTCTGAGCGGCTTTTCCTACTCTGAGAGGGTGAGGAACCGCTGCCGCTCTCTTGGGCAGGGGGGGCTCACAGGCTGAGCGGGGCGGATAGGGGG